CTAATATGAAACTTTAGCATAGGAAAAGAAAAAGAAGTGAAAGATCCCAAGTTGGAAGCTCTTAGGATAAAAAAAAGGAAATTTTATTTGTTCAATCACGCATGTAAGCTCTGATGTGGGGATTTTTGGNGGGTTTCATTATTTAGTCTCAATGTAGTTTAGTAATCATAACAAAAATTAATTATAGGATTGTTTTCGGCCCTTTACATAAGTTTTTATGAAGTGTTCACTAACTAATAATCAGTCACATGTGATTAACCATAAGCTTACGATATTTGACATTTGATTTCACAAAAGTTATCATGCAAATGTTGTTTTGAAAGGTGAAAAGTGAAAACTAAAGAAAAATGGTTATAACATATAATCGTTTCGTCTTCACTCAAAGGGGAAAAAGCTAAATGCTACTACGGACCATTTCGGCCGCCACCGCCGGCGCCGAGACAAGCGTCGGAGTGATAAACAAGAACAACTTCTTCGATCTCTTCAAAAGATCAACTTCTCTCTCTCACCTTACTCAGACCCATGCTCAGATCATTCTCCATGGCTTCCGATACGACATCTCATTGCTCACCAAGCTTACCCAGCGACTCTCCGACCTCGGTGCCATTTACTACGCACGAGACATCTTCCTCTCCGTTCAGAGACCTGACGTTTTCCTCTTCAACGTCCTCATGCGTGGTTTCTCCAATAATGAATCACCTCACACTTCGCTTTCTGTTTTTGCCCAACTAAGAAAATCCACTGATCTCAAACCCAATAGCGCCACCTACACTTATGCTATCTCCGCTGCTTCGGGTTTTCGTGACGCGAGAGCTGGCCGTGTGATTCATGGTCAAGCGGTCGTTGATGGGTTTGACTCGGAATTACATGTTGGGTCGAATATCGTTAAGATGTACTTCAAGTTTTCTCGAGTCGATGATGCTAGGAAGGTGTTCGATAGAATGCCTGAGAAAGACGCGGTTTTGTGGAATACCATGTTATCTGGGTACCGAGAGAATGAAATGTATGAAGAATCTATACAGGTTTTCAGAGATCTGATCAAGGAGAGCTGTACCCGTTTGGACTCAACAACTGTGTTAAATATTCTTCCTGTTATTGCAGAGTTACAGGAGCTGAGACTCGGGATGCAAATCCATAGTCTTGCGACGAAAACAGGATCCTACTCACACGATTTTGTTCTTACCGGTTTTGTCTCATTGTACTCAAAGTGTGGAAAGATTGATGTGTTAAGTACTCTGTTTCGAGAGTTTTGTATACCAGATGTTGTAGCTTACAACGCAATGATTCACGGGTACACATCAAATGGCGAGACTGAGCTTTCCTTGAGGCTATTTAAAGAGATGATGTTATCAGGAGCAAGGTTGAACTCAAGCACGCTGGTGAGTCTGATCCCTGTCTCTGGTCATCTTATGCTTATATATGGCATTCATGGTTACAGCCTGAAATCGAATTTCCTGTCTCACGCATCTGTCTCGACTGCTTTAACCACGGTTTACAGTAAATCGAATGAGATAGAATCAGCGCGGAAGATTTTTGATGAATCTCCGGACAAAAGCTTGGCATCTTGGAATGCAATGATCTCGGGTTATACCCAAAACGGGTTGACAAATGATGCGATATCTCTATTTAGAGAAATGCAGAAGTCTATGTTTAGTCCAAACCCGATCACAATAACTTGTATTTTATCGGCTTGTGCGCAGTTAGGAACGTTGAGTTTGGGGAAATGGGTACATGGTTTAGTAAGGAGTACAGATATTGAGTCTAGCATATATGTGTCTACAGCTTTGATTGGTATGTATGCCAAGTGTGGAAGCATTGCAGAAGCACGCCGGTTGTTTGACTTGATGCCAAAGAAGAATGAAGTTACATGGAACACGATGATTTCAGGTTATGGCCTCCATGGACATGGACATGAAGCTCTGGATATCTTCTCTGAGATGTTGAGTTCCGGCATTGCACCAACGCCAGTCACTTTCCTCTGCATTCTTTACGCTTGTAGTCATGCTGGCCTGGTCAAAGAAGGTGATGAGATATTCAATTCCATGATCCACCAGTATGGTTTTGAACCATCAGATAAGCATTACGCCTGTATGGTTGATATTCTTGGTCGAGCAGGACACTTGCAGAGAGCAATGCAGTTTATAGAGGCAATGCCGGGTGAGCCAGATCCTTCCGTGTGGCAAACACTGCTGGGAGCTTGTAGGATTCACAAAGACACAAACCTTGCCCGTACTGTCTCTGAGAAACTGTTTGAGCTAGATCCAGACAATGTAGGATACCATGTTTTGCTGTCGAATATTCACTCAGCTGATAGGAATTATCCACAGGCTGCTACGGTCAGACAAACCGCAAAAAACCGGAAACTAGCCAAGGCTCCTGGGTATACCTTAATAGAAATAGGTGAGACTCCTCATGTCTTTACATCAGGTGATCAGTCACATCCGCAGGCAAAAGCAATCTATGAGAAGCTGGAGAAGCTCGAAGGGAAAATGAGGGAAGCTGGGTATCAACCCGAGACTGAGTTGGCCTTGCACGACGTGGAGGAAGAAGAAAGGGAGCTGATGGTAAAGTTTCACAGCGAGAGGCTAGCCATTGCCTTTGGACTCATAGCCACTGAACCAGGAACTGAAATCCGGATCATAAAGAATCTCCGGGTCTGTTTAGACTGTCACACCGTAACTAAACTCATCTCAAAAATCACAGAGAGAGTAATTGTTGTTAGAGACGCCAACCGCTTCCATCACTTTAAAGATGGTGTCTGTTCTTGCGGAGATTACTGGTAGTGACTAGTTTTGGCCTCAACACAAGTCATTTTGTACTCATCTTGTAACATTATATCATTCATAATTGATAACTCTTTACTGACTCAATAAGTGTGGATTTCTTGATACAGTCTATATGGCTAAGCTTAAAAGTTGAAAACTTACAAAAAAGTTGAGGAAGATCTTCGTTCAAATAATCTATTTCTATGGTTACAGATACATGGGAATGCAAGAAGCATAATAGAAAAGGAACTATACAGAAATTTATCAAACTCCTTGTCATTACCAGATAATACATCTTCAGACAATTGTGCCTGGTGCTCTCAATCGTTACCCGATGATTAATTTGATATCAGACATTTGTGCATCATATATCTTGCGTTGCAGGTATACCTGCCGCTGAAACTTCGTCATCAGCTGGCTTTTTCTTCTTTTTTGGGGGCAGTTCTTGCCCTTTCCGAAGAACTTCCTTGTTTGGCACCAAGACAATAAACAAATTTCTGTCCCGGAAGTTTTTGCTCTCCTCAGTCGCAAGCTGCAGATGTTGACAAGTTTCAGAGACTCAAGAAACACTATCCATTCAGACGCAACTCACATGCAAATCCAATATCATACTTCTACTGGAAAGATGAGAGAACAATACGCACCTCCCCTATTTCATTCTGAAATCGTCTAAGGAGCTCAATAGCAATATTTCTGAACTCGTTTTCCCGGCCTTTCATGTTCACAATCACTTTAACCTGATTGTATTACAAGTCATGCAGCAGCATAAATTTAATCAGTATGGATCAAACTCGCCCATATATGTTCCAGTACCAAGACAAAAAAGAAAAGAAAACAGGAACAACCTTGTCACCGTCTTGCAAAAACTTCCGGGCTGCTCTCATGCGTACAGAATAATCATGCTGATCAATGTTATAACTATCGAAAAAACAAAAAGTAGGAACCTTTTGAGAGGAAGCAGTTATAAACAAGTGATTGCAAAGGCACAGACAAGAGCAAGAGAGTGACATGGCTCATTTTACCCCATTTTAAGCTCCTTCAAGTCCATGCGAGTAGCTGACACAGAAACAAGCTTCAGTTACAATCCATTCATGTAAATACAACACAGTATGTGAGCTTATTCTTATGCAGAGAAGAACGATCAATACTCTTCTTCTGTTGTTCTTTTTTCCTCTTTTGCTGTTCGTATCTGTATTTACTAATAACAATGAAACAAAAGGAAAAGAATCATTAATCCTTGAAGTTTCCCTATACACAATCCATATGATAATAGCAATGTTTATATATCTTACCTGTAATCCATCATTCTAACAACCGGAGGATCTGCATCCGGTGAAAGTATTACCTGAAAACTTAGTGAAACATTCAAAAACAGGAAAAGGTAATCTATAAGCATTGAAATTTCGAAAGAAACACAAACCAGATCAAGCTCAGCTTCTTCGGCTCTTCGAACTGCTTCATCTTTGGAAACTATACCAATCTACAGAACAAAGAAACTGAAATTTGTTATAGTTGCTGAAAAATCAAAAGCAACACTGAAGCAACTTCATTTACCATGTTTTGTTGCCCATCAATAAGCCTAACAGTAGCTGACCTACTCAACACCAAAAATGTCGATACATCAAAATCAATCAAAACTTCAGATAGAGAAACTCAATCAATCCAAGTATCACACAATTACCTAATCGCTGAGATATCAAGCGCATCATCATCCTCGGATTCTTTCTGCTTACCTCGCCTATCGCCGGGAAATCGAGAGCCTCCGCCACCACCACCGCCTCCGTAACGGCAGGTGATAGCGGAGCTACGGCGATGATAAGGAGAGAGAGTAGCAATTGACAATTCGGCGAGATAGAGTTGAAGACCGAAGAGCTTAGATTTATCGGCGATGACAGAATATGGGTGATGCGACATCGTTTTGGTGGCTCCGGTGAGAATGGCGTTGAGCCCGACGGTGCTGGTGGTGATCCCAGTCATGGCACTTCGGAGTCAAGAGACTCTCTACTGAATCGGAGAAATCAGAAAATAGAAAATAAAGGTCTTATCCAGATAATACACAAGAAATCTTATACAGTAGTACGATTTGAGATATTTCACAATTTTAAAAACTACTCCATCTATTTTAAGAAAATTTTTTAAAAATGTCACTTTACGTTTTTTTACAATTTTTACCAAAATCTCACTTTTTAAAAA